CAGGAAAAGAGTAAGGTCAGGTCTACTCTGAACATATTTGTTGGCACAGCTATGTCGGTCAGAGATGTAAAGAGGTGTGCTTCCTGACCAACATAGCTGTGCCGGCAAAAGCTGCTAATATAAACACAGGTATACCAGCAAAACTGCTGGTATATTTTATTTTGTTTGGGGGCTGAAATAAGCTATACTGGCAACCATATATTTTTATACCAGGAAATGCCTCCTAGTATAGACCTGACCCAAGATTTGGTTGTAAATTAAAAGAGAAGACAGAGAAAGAGATAAGGAACAGAGGCAATGAGAGCTGAAAAAGACTAATTAGCTCATTCCTTGCCAGGGCAAGATTGCTCCCTAAACTACATTTTGTGATGCTCTGTCCAGTCTGACAAAAAATGTAAGTATCTAGCTATTATGGCTGAAGAAAAATGTGAATGGTGTGTAACAGTTACAGAAATATCAGAGTCTGCACGGACCTTGGAGTAATTGTTCTGAGTGGTGTAAGTCGCCCATCCATATAGTGAGGCGTTAACTCAGACAGCCTTGCAATGATAAATAAAATGTCGACACTATAAACTATTTCATTCCTTATGTAAGAAAGGAGAGGGAGGATCACAGTTCTGCACAATTTACTGAGTGACATTTCATTTTGGTGCCACAAATGGGTGGTGTTTGGGAGATACCATAACTTATTATTTATCCCCAGTGAAAAAGGAGCCATTCACCAGGAGCCTAGCCGAGCCTATAGGCGTATTCAAACCCCACAGAGGTCTTCAAAGAGCCCAGAAGAGCTCAGCAAGCACGTACAAACATATTTTGAACATCTGCACAATCCAATGTGAGCATATCTCATTTTAGCAACTAATACGGACAAAGCTTATTTTGTGGGTGGAGTTTGGAAGAGTACAACCATTCCCCTCTCCCTGTATCCCCTCAATTCAACCCCTGAACAGGAGAGTAATTGCTTTCCACAGGCTAACAGATCTCACTTTCAGGAAGTTTTTTTCAGATATTCAGCCCAAGTTTTCCCTGTCTTTCATACCATTATACCTAGTAAATATCTAAAATACAGAGAGACGTACAGAACAGGGAAATAGGAAAGGAGGAGATGCAATGGGCAAGTAAAAAAAGAGATGGGGATAGCGATTAAATTAAACAAAAACAGGGCAAAAAGGGAATTTAGAAAACTTCAGTGGGTTACCAGAGCATGCAGATGTAATTGTCAGCAGCAAGTCTCCAGTAGAACAAAAAAATATACTTTGTGTGAAAATTAATGCTAATGCTAAAGTTATTCATTATTATATTTATTATTTACATTGTGACAAATGTGGGTGGCATTATACAGAGATAATAAAAAGCATGACCTCTGCCCAACAGAGAGCTTTACAGATCTGTTAGCACTATGCTAAACAAATTTAAAACCAAACAATGAGCCATTAATTGTTCTTTGTTATATTTCAGCATATTTATTATTTGATTATTACCAGTGCTGTTTCCATGTGCCCAAGAAAGCTATTCTTGTCAGAGGGCCATGGGACAGGGCAGTGTAGCACAGTGGCATAGTGAAGCATGATCACAGAGAGAAATTTTAAAATATTCACTGGCTTTTTAAGATTAGAGGTACTGGTTTAAAAAAAAATCAAGGGAACAAGTGACTGTTAAAAACACTAGTCTTTGCCTGGACTCTTAACTTCAGTCAAAAAATGTGCAGTGAGTTTTTTGAAGCACTGAGAATATGAAGTGACAGCATGTGTCTCTGTTCAGAATGGGAAGATTATTGACATCTGTTGCCTCTTGTTTTATACTTAGATTGTAAGCTCTTTGGGACAGGGGCCGTTCTGTGTTTGTACAATATTACAATAATACTAATAAATAATACAAAAAAATACTTGTACATCACCTCTTGATTTGGTTTGGTAAAGAGAAATGTTACACAAATTGCAAATGGAGCCTGGCCCCGGGGAGACTATATGGGCCATATTCACGCCAGGATACTTCCATTTGAATGGAGTTACCCCAGGACAAATTTGGCCCACTATGCCTTTGGGACTGGGGATAGGGAGACACTAGGTTTAGGGACCAGACACTGAGAAAAAGAGGTAGAGAGAGACTTGGAGGTAGGTAACATATTATGGGGATGGGAGCACACTGGAAGTTGGAGAAACAGTCAATCAGGAACAGAGTAGATCAGGAGCTAGGAGTAGGAGCAGTGAATGGATTAGTGGATGGGAAACACTGATGTCAGAGTACAGGAGACAGGTGATGGGGTGGGGGAGGAGGGGGAAGAAGAACAAAGGACCAGGGAAAGAAGAAGGAATGGAGTCAAGGAATTGATGAGTTAGAGACAGCCAATAGTTTCTCACTGAAATATGATCTTGGAGACTGGACTCTATCCCTTAGCCTTTGGACCAGAAAGGCTTGGTTACTCTGGCCGGTGAATGTAGCAGCCCAATTCTCCATCCTTTTCATGTTGGAATGGTGCAAAAACAAATATAGACCACTCTGGGGGTTGTAGATAGCTAACATGCTTTTAAACAAGCCTGCTCTTGTCTGGGCTCAACGGTTACATGTGTTTGGCATGGTATTAGTTAACATGGGTTAGTTAACACATTTCCTGACATAGGCTAGACAGGTTCCTAGCATGGACATGCTGCACCAGTGTAAGCCATGTCATTTACTATCACAAGGCATGTTGTCAGCATAGACATACCACTGTGCTGCGCTCCAGCGCACACTGCTGGCAAAAGATTCCAGCAGAGCCAGGCTCTCGGATAGGGTGACCAGATGTCCTGATTTTATAGGGATAGCCCTGATTTTGGGGTCTTTTTCTTATATAGTCTCCTATTACTGTCCACCCCCGTCACGATTTTTCACATTTGCTGTCTGGTCACCCTACTCTCGGACAGCTGTTTCTCCATGGAGGAGCCATGCCCCGCTCGTATGTGGGTTTCAGAGAGGCACCTCCTTCTCATAGGGCACACTCGGGTGGGCATGGGGGGCTCAGCGCTGCAGAGGAAGAGAGAGCACACAGCAGTTCAACCCTCTGCACAGCATGGGGAGAGTCCCCAGAACGGGGGGAAGTTGGTGGGGGGCTGAACCCCCCAAAGCAGGAGGGAGGAGATGGTGGGGGCTGAGCCCCCCCGAGAACAGGGGGAAGGGGGAAGAGACAGTGGGGGCTGAGCCCCCCCCAGAGCAGGAGGAAGGGGGAAGAGACAGTGGGGGCTGAGCCCCCTCCCAGAGATGGAGGAAGGGGGGGAAGAGACAGTGGGGGCTGACCCCCCCAGAGCAGGGGGAAAGAGGGAGACGGCGGGGGCTGAGCCCCCAGGTCAGGGGAGGCGGAAGCTGAGCCTCCCCCCGAGTTGGGCACGAAGGTCCCCCCAGGAGCGGGGGAGGGGGCAGCTTTCCCGCTCTCCCCGAGCGCAGGCCCGGGCAGTGGGACCGATCTCGCCAGCCGTAGCCCGCTCACCCGTTTGCGTCTCAGGAGGCGCAGCAGCGGAGCAGGCGCCAGCCGGGAGCGGGAAAACGCGCCCCAACAAGCTGTTAATGCGAGTCTGGGACGGGGCCGGGGGTGCGGCCGGGACTCCGATCCCCTCCCCCCGCCGCAGGAGTGCGGGGACCAGAGCCTAGTGGCCACGAGCGGTTCTTGCCTCCACTTTCTCTCCCTCCCTGAGCGTGGGGCTAAACAGGGGCGCCCCCGGGTGGCTGCGCGGGGGGGTTAAGGGCGGGTCCCAGGAGAAAGGGTCGGAACGAGCCGCTCTAGTGGCTGTGCGCGTGGTATAAGGAGGGGTCCCAGCAGGGGGCCGTGACGCGCCCGCCAGTGACTGTGCAGGGGGTCCGAGGAGGGGTACCAGCACTGGGCGAGCCCGTAGCCGCTGGCCATGGGTCTGAGGGATCCCTCCAGGCTCCAGGGAAGGGCTGAGCCCCGCAGTGGCAGCACTGGTCTTCCCATCAGGGCGGTTCGCCTTTGCTGTCTGCACCAGGGCATGTGCGGGGTCATTCCCGCCCCCCCTCCCAAGTTTGACCCGGTTCGTTTCGTGTTGCAACTGTGCGAAAGCCACCGCGAGCCACGTGAATTAAAATTAGCCCCGTTTTGGAACGAAAAGTGACCTCCCCGGCCGGGTCACTGGCGCCCCTCGCACCGTTAGCACAGCAGGACACCGTCGTTAGTCTGCAGGCGCAGAAACCGAAGTGCCAGACCCCTCCTCCCCCTTTCTGTGGTGAGATTGTACCCACCCCAGTCTCCCAAGGCCACTTGGAGGTTGGGGTGGGAGGTCGTTTTACTCCCACACTAGCTTTAAAGTCTGTTTAAAGACGATCTTTGGGGAACTGCATGGAGCATTTGGAGCATCCAGTCGGGAGTCTCCTACAAGGGGGCAGTCGCAGCGTGCTGGCAGTTTGGCTTCTCTGGTGCAGTGGTTTATCTCTGTTAATGATTCTGGAGACATTTTAAACATCCTCTTTCTTTAACTAGGTACGAGTTACAATTCTGACGGCTTTTATTGACGACCCCTGCAAGCGCCTGCAACTCCTCCGGCTTTGCAGGGCTGAGCCCTGATAACGCTGCCATTCAGCAGATTGTTAGGACTGATAGGAATGTTAATGAAGTTGGTTAAACGCTATTGGGACTTACAATGATCCTTCCCATGGGTGATGGGATCCAATGGGATTTTATTTATGTCCCAGTGTTTGTTTTCAGAGCTATCAGAAAAGAATCGTCTTCTGCAGTATAAAGTCCCTGTCTACTCTAGTGAATTGCCAGTGTTCAAAGTCTAATAGCAGGAGACTATCTACTGCAATCTTTGGAAAAGAGATGACTTTTACAATATATGGGTTGATTGCAAATAAGTTACTAATAAGCCAGTTTGGTTTAGGGATTGTTGTATACATTATTTCCCAGGCACTGTTTATTTGCAGCTATTTCTTTTTAAAAAGTCGTTAATTCAATAAGAAAAATTACAAAAGCTAATACTTAATGTAGACATTCAAGCTATTAAGCAATGGAGTTGTAAATACGGGCACTTTCATTTTATTTTACAATAGATAACACAAAAGCAGCAGTCATAAAAGCGAAAACAAGAACACTTTTCAGAAACGTTGTGACAATACAATTGCCCAGATGGGGAAATTTATTCAATATAAGTTACTATTGCAGCTGTCACAGCAGAAGAACAAAATGTTTAGGAAAGTAATACGACAGAGCAGGAGGTATTGGGGGGGATTTATTTTGAAATACACTTTTAAAAGATATTTTGACTCTCAGATTTGTTATCAATGTGCATCCAACAGGACAATACGAAAAAAAAATAAAACCACATTCTGTACAGAGCTCTAAAATGAGCTGCGAATATCTACAAGAGACTAGCATATGCTCTTTGTGTGGATAGGAGTGGAGCCCGATCCTGCAGTCCACAACTCCCTAAGGGAATTTTGCTGGAGTGTGGTATGCGGTCTCGGCCCCTGTGTGTGTGTGTGTGTGTAGCTTTCTACAATTAAGTCCTTGAGCAAAATTAGCAACTTGGAGCTGCAGAGGCAGGTGCAGGTCCTTGGCTGCTCTAGAAGTCCTGCCGCGGGGTGTGAGTTAGACTGTGCCGCCGCAGATCACAGTTTCGCCTGAACACTTTGCCGCACTGCTCACAGTTGTAGGGCTTGATGTCTGTATGGGTAAGAAGGTGAGTTTTCAGATTACTTCTCTGATTAAAGGTTCTTCCACATGTGGGGCATTTGTGTGGAGATTCCTGTTCAGATTTGAAGCAAGCAAAGGATTAATCCTTTACAAACTACCTAGTTTATTAATTTACTACTTTTCTGTTATTACATAGCTTAACATGAAGTATAGGGAATCTACTTAAATAAATCTAGACTCTTAATCCTCAACAGATACAAAATCATGACACTTTTAACTGCCTGGAAATATCCTGTCTGTCAACGTATATTTTATTCTCAGCTCAGCCCATTTCATGCCCCTTGAATCTACAGAAAAAAAATGTACAGTGCAATTCTTCAATTTCAAATCACCACGCCATCTCTATGAGTAAGGCTGAGCTTTCCTCCAGACAGTTAAACCATTACAGACATATACAATGTATTGGGATACAGGCAAATCATTTTAAGGTGTCAATTAATCTTTCAAAGCTGTTTTTCCCCTACAGTGCTTACATTTTTTACAAACATAAAATATTGAAATGCATTTGATAAGATTTAACAAAGACCATTTATAAGTACCCACATTCACAAGCAATTTATGTAAATTAAATCCTCAGTAGACTCTATTTGCTTTTTTCTAAAAGAATTGCATATTTTAAATACACTAAATAGACATGTCTTAATCAAGAAAAATAAGAATATAGGGCCATATCCTGTTATTAAACAGATTGCTTTATTGAAGTAAAGATTTGGGGAGATCTGCTTTAAAAACTAATGGCAAGCTATGGCTCATTATTTCAGGTGCCTAACCACATTCCGAAATTTGTTTACCTTACATGCTATTTAAGGGTTTGTACAAAATAAACAGGATAAGAACAAGAACAGTATAATGATAATAATAGACTTGGAGCTAAACTTACCTGCATATGTAAAGTTTTATGAACTGCTAGAGTTCTGGATTGGCAGAATCCTTTCCCACATTCCTGACATTTGAAAGGTTTTTCTTTGGAATGGATATATCTGAAAGTCAATACAAGGGTTTGAATCAATGGCTGTCGACAAACTCAAAAAGCCACAAGAAGGCTCTAGAGATTCTTTAATCTTATAATTACTTTGTGTGGGGGAGGGGAAATTCTGACTCTTTATTTATTATTAATTTTTATTATTTTTGTTCTGTAATTCTGCGTATAATTAACCTCCTTTATCAGTTCAAAACATTTACAATAATTCTTATCAACGCTAGATTGCCCTCTCTGGTGACAGATTAGACTGCATGATGGAAAAATCATCTGTTTCACAAACTGGTCCCAATCCTGCTCCCGTTTAAGTCAATGGGAAATTTGCCGTTAAACGTCAGTGTGAGCAGGATTGGGCATACATATTCGTCTATTTTATTTTATTTTAATTTTTGGTTGAAGTTCTACTAATTTTCCCGGGACTACTAACCTGAACAAGGGGGCGTGGGAATTGGCCCTTTACCTTTACATTCAACTCTTAAAACCAGATTGTAAATACTATCCTTACCGGACTATTACAATCTTATCAGCGATGGGGAATATTTGTTTCAGTTAATAGATTCGCCTCCAAATACAATCACATGTCCAACCCACAAAAATTACATATTTATTTGCTATTCCCCCTTAGAAGATCAGCTGTCAATTAATTTGTCGATTGGTTTGCCACTGCTTCCCTGCTGGAGAAGCCGAAATGCCTCTACGTGGGAAGCGATGAATCCACCAAACCTTTACAGCTAATGTAAAACTCAGGAGAAAGTATAAGGAAAGTGGGCATATTTCTTAAATTCACAGCGGCCCAAGATCGGTGGGGCCTTGAGTTTAGCTTAGCAGCAGATTGTCCACATGCTGACAGCCTGGGAGGAGGTTCTATTGTGCAGTGATCTGAACCTGGCGGAGCCCACGGAACCTTTGTAGTAAATAATAGGAAAAGTTTCTGATGTGACATCTAGAGAGAGAAATAGCAGCTGCCTTTCACTGGGGGGAGCTAGGAGAAGGCTGCTTGCCTGTGGCTGCCTCCCTCACCTGTGGTCTCGGAGGTGGTCCTGTCTCCGGAAGGCCTTGTGGCAGATGTCACAGGTATAGGGCCGCTCGTCTGTGTGGGTTCTCTCGTGGATGAGCAGGTTGTAGGATTTGGTAAAGTGTCTGCCGCAGAATTTGCAGATAAACTCTTTTTTCGTTTTGGAAGGTAACCTGCCCCTGGAGGGCTTTCTGTCCGGAGACAGTTTGCTGATCCCTGAGATGGGACTTCCAAGTCCTGGACTCAGCTTGGTCAGATCTGCAATCTTTGGTGGGTCCTCCTGCGTGGCGGCCACGGCCAGATTGGCAAAATCAAACCTGGGTCTGTCTTTATGTAAAGCTGGGATTACATGGGCGATGGCCCCTTGCTTTGGGTGAAAGAGGTGTGTGGCGAAAGGTAGCGTTGGGAAAGAGAATCTGGCATCCATCAGGCCCTGAGCTGCAGCCATCTCCGTGATGGTAGACCTGGTGATTTCATGCACATTGGGATATCCCAATGTCCAGTGGTTCATATGCATGGTCTGCACCGCGCTGAGTCCATAAAGACCTTGTAGGTGGTCCACAGCTGCTGGGAAGGTGTTCACAGCCTGGAGGAAGGAGTAGTTAGTGAGCTGCAGTGAAGGGTGGAGTGGGATCGGAGCCGGAAGAGCCTTGCTTCCCATCTTCCCAGAGGGACGTAAGCAGAACCCTTTACCTTTCTTCGTGACTTCTGAACTTCCAACAACAACGACAGAAAATCCTGTAAGCAAGGGAGGGGGAAAGAGAATTTACTGAATGCAGCGCGTTCCTCATTGACTGAGGCAATCGAAAAATTCAAACAAGTGTTCCAAGGTCGGGGTTTGTTTTTGTTTTGTTTTTGCTCTAGTGCCACCCGTGCAGAGACAACTACTGTACGTGTTTGCACAGATCCCAGAGAATAGGAAAAGAAACAACAAATAATTCTCTGGATTGAGTAAGAAAAACACAAAGCGTCCGGTTCAATTCACTCACAACAGCCGAAAAAGTGAATGCAAGGCGAGCATCGATTCCTAAAGGGCTGTACGTCGTATTGGTTTGTCTTTGTCATTCAACCCCACACCCCCGTCCCAAAAATATCTCCAGAGACTGAACTCCCACCAAGAAGACAAGTGGTTTTAGCCGCACACTGCATAGAAGTGAGAAGCAGAACGCCTTCATTCTGCATTCAGTGCTACCTTCACATCGATCTTATCTCCAGAAGTCACTTCAAACCTCCTCTTCAGACTTATTGATTCCCCCGAGGCTTTGAAGCAGCCGCTGAGGCAGACACCTCACCTCTGGGGCCTTCTTGGGAGATCGAGGGCAGGAGAATATGCGCAAATTTACAGTCTTCTCTTAAGAGGGGAACCAAGACAAGGTTCAGGGCTGGGGGCTAGAGGTGACAATGCAGCCTAGTTTATTCTAACTCGGGTGCTTATTTTTCTTCCTTCAACAACAACTCATTTATCAAGATAATTGAAGGAGAGAAAAGCAACACGTTTCCAGCACTGCAGGTTCTAAATAAATCCACTTTACGCTCAGATCCCTTCCAGATGGTCGGAGCAACGCCACACAGAAGGGCTTTGGGAGAGCAACGCCATCTGTGGAGAGGAAAGGTGGCCAGGCTCGGAGGCCTCTGCAGCCCTACGGACATATTCACTTTTCTAGACCTCCAAATAAATAAATCCCCCTCCTCTCCTCCATCCGGACCGCGGTGTTCCAGACTAGATTTCATGGAGATGTGTTTCTGCTATTGAAAACCTCCTCTGCCTAATGGTGCCCGGTGGAATAGATAGGAGGGCTGCAAACTCGTTAATATACTAATTTATCTAACTCCTATTACCATCACCAGAGACAGACAATAACCTGCGGTGCAAAACAGCCAGCGTTACTACTCACTGACTGGACAGTGCTCCGGGACATTGAGGGGTTTACGCCGCAGATTATCCCCCTCCCAGGCCTAGATTCCTTGTCTGCGTTAGTATTATACTAACTCCCTTCAGAAAAGGATCGGCGGACACTGCATTAGCGACTTCCCGGCGTGTTATTGATTCTTCCTGGTTAGTGTTGTGGCCTATTGCGGTATCCGAGCGTCTCTGCTCTGTGTCTCTGTTCCTTATTAAGGAAGGCATATTGGGCCGTCTTTCCAATGGGCTTTTGACCCACGATTTGTTGGCTACGTCCTGGATTCCCCCGTTTTCAAATGTGAGGGAAAATGTGATTTATTTTGTTCAAAAGCACCTAGACGCTGCAGTGCGGTGTCTCCTGCCTGCTGGGACTTCCACCCGCACGCGGGTCGATGTGTCACACCCGCGGGGCTGCTTCAGGAATTAGGCATTTCTGAATGAAAAACCTGGGCTGTACTCTAGATTGTACAGGATCGGGGTGTCTGGCTGTCCAGCTGTAGGGCCCTACTGCTGTTTTCCTGCTCGGTACCTCACACCAGAAACAGCCTCCGCTCTCGTGTTTATTTGCTCTCTTCATTTTTGATCAGTTGCCTAAGAGCATGAATACGTGAGAGAGTATTCGTGGAGGACTGTGCCCTTGGTTCTGCCGGGTGCTGCTGGGCCCGCACCTTGTGTTTCTCGGCTCCACTCAGGAAGGCAGCAGCAGCAGCCCTGCGCAAGGGGTTTTATTAATGAAATGAACCCCTTCTGAGCTGTGGTATGCGATCTGGGAGTGCAGGAAGGGAGTTAATGAGAGGTGTGTGACAGTCAGAGGGTTTCACTCAGTCCATTCAACCGAAACTATACACGCCATTTCTAATCAACTTTCCCACCACTAATCATTTTCCATGTTTAATCAGGGAGCTCTCACTTCACACACCAGAGCCGCAGCAGGCCAGCATTCTGGGCTAAACTAGAAAGCAATGCACGGAGCAAATTCAAGTTTTTATTGATTGATTCGTTTTCTTTCTTGGTACGGTTACATTTCCATCAGATTCAAATTATTTTTTCAGACCAAAACAAGCGGCGTCGCTTTCCCTTATCACGTGAAATGGAATCCAGAAATAGGTATTGGATTGCCTGAAAACCATAGGTATGGGGCACAGAGTATAACGGCCCTTGGAGTTCTGGGGATGGAAATCGTGACATGTAATTTTCAAAAGTTTGAAAGATTCTGCCCTCAAAGATTAAATGCACATTCTCCACCCATTAGTTCAATGAAATGTGCATCCCCTGATAGCATATATCCTCAGTATTACCGATTTCCTCAGAAAACCAATTCACTACACAAAACAAGATACACTACACGTATATTTGAATGGCACCACGCTTTTCCTTTGAGCTGGAAAGCTGTATTTTCGGGTTCTTTGCCAAAACACACGTTTGTCATACAGAATTTAGCTTTCAAACTGTCCTGCTTGAAAAATGTATCTCAGACATTTTATATCACGCATTCACATTTTCATTTTATTTTAATCATGCCACGTAGGAATTTTTTCTATTTGCGTGTATTGTTGTTTACTATGAAGTCCAGAAGATGGAAGACACTTATGATTTTTTAAATGTAGACACCTAAGATTTTTTAAAAGACTTACTAATAGCAGTACTATTGTAAAGCATCACCCCTGTTTGATTTACATTCAAATACATTACAGGAATGTCCATTTAGGTAAAGAAGATTAAGACCTCTTTTTAGTTTTGGCCAATACGACACGTTCACAGGTTAATTTCAGTTCACTGAACCTTATCATTAAAAAAATCGGATATTAAAAGTTACCGAAGGGAGCTGTAGTGTTTTAGTAAGTTTCACCTTCATCTTTTGTTATTATACGTGGTTGTCCAATTGTATATAGCGCATGCATTAATATGACGAAGAATCATACCAATAATGTAATTCTGTAAAAGGTATTATTAAAATATATTTTCTTTATTATGAATGTTTTTAAAAATTAAACGAGTATACTATGAAGTGGACCATAATGAATGGTTTGCCATTTGTACTTGACTTTATCTTATTAAAACAACACGCATACACACACAAGACCAGAAAGTGCAATAGTATGTGCTTCCCCCTTTAAAGTTTACTTGTAGTAAGGTGAGGAAAAAAACGGATGTTATTTAGACCTCGGCACTTCCCTTTCCCTTTCCCTTCAAAGTACTTAATTAAATTAAGGCTAGTATCTGCATAATAGGTCTCTGTTTATCTGCTTGCTTACTTTTGACCTACTCCTCAGCAGCGCGGATTTTCTTTTTCCTCTAATGGCAATTTGTTAAGTAGAGAAAGTAGCTGTCTTTGATGATCCACAAAGTGAAACAACATATTGCTTTTGTTCACTGATAACAGGTAGGCTGTGACGATGTTTAGCTACCATACACAAACGCTTTTTTAGCGTGTGCAGAAAGTCAAAGTACATCTATCGCTATTGCTACCTAAAACTCCTAGTTGAACACAGATTGGAACTTATCAGCGTGATCGTACCACACTGAGCTAATCAAGCAATGCGTGCATGCACCTCGCTTTGCTCAGGATTTATTTAATATTAAAGGCCCAGTCCAGAATTTCTTGAGAAACCAAAACTTCTTAGGGAGACCCTAAACAGAAAACATACTTCAAACATTGTTTAATGTGCTAATAGAATAAGCACTGCGCAGAGAACACATCTGCTTAGCACTGCATAAAGGATTGCAGAAATTCAAACTGAAAGTAAACTTAGAAATGCTGTCCTCTCCTCAGGAATCGCTTAGCTGTTAGAAAGCTCTTTGACAAATATTTCAGTGTTTAACTTGAGTATGTTTAAGGAAATGTATGATCACGCTCTACTGCTGATTTACTTTTATAATCAATCTCCGAATACTCAATTAAACATAGACACCTTTCAATATGAACATTCTCGGTGACTGTAGCTACATTGCAGTGCAATTATCTTTGTGAAGCACATATTTCAAACGATAGCATATTATACCTAGGTACACAATCCTTGATGTCTCTCTCACGGCACGGTCCAATGCATACTTTCTCACAGCTGCTACGTGGTAGTAACAGAGTTGTGAGTGACTTACCTACCACAATGAGCTTCTCCCAAAGAGCCCCTCACAACGCAAAGTTCAAGAAGCGATCCTAGTGTCTTTGCAGTGTCATTAGATCCACATCGAACCGGCGGAAAACTCCACCATAAGAGTTCAGCAAAGCTGAGTCCGAATAGCTTTCAGCATGTTGTGGAGGAGGGGGAAGAAGAGAAGGGTTAGAAACTACTCAAGGGTTTTTCCTTGTCTTTGGGACTCTTGCTGCGGAAGTGTGTACAGTCCTCGCTTGCTTGGGGAATTGTGTAGAGACCTTTCTCCTAATCACTCTCCCTCGCCTTCTCCTTGAGCCTCTTGCCTTCGACTCTTGCGAAGTTTGATACAAGTCTGAGTCTCCCCCTCCCAGGTCCATCACATTTCAGCAGTAAGTGGCGTGGAGCACTGTCCCCGCCCGCTGTCCCACCCCAAGCCTCACACATTCGAACGTTCACTGCTTTAGTATTCTGACCCCGCCCAACATGGAACGTTCAGAGGGTTGTAAAGTTCCGAGCCCTCCCTCAGCTCCGCCTCTCTTCCCTTTTCGCTGTACTGTTTACTTGTGTTTGGGTAGCAACAGGGTTTTAAAGGGGCAGTGCTCTCTTTTCTCATCCCCTCCCCTATTTCTTTTCACGTTACCTAAGGTGACTTTTTCCGTTGAGAAACCTCTGCTCGTTCATAAAACAAGATATCCCCGCCTATGCCCCTGTCCCTGCCTACATCAGCTGCAGGGAGTGCTGTACCGTCCCAATTCCCCGGATATAGAGCTGCTTGGAGCAGTTTGCAAGAACTTTCCCCTACTGCTACAATTCACTTTACATTCTTAATATACTCCGTTCAATCCTAAAAGCCCTTACATTTTCCCTGCTTAGGTGGCACATAACGTAATGTTTACAATGATACTTTGTACGCCTGTACTTGTGTATTTCTGTCCAAGATAATTTATAGCATAACGCTATTTTCTGTACATACTTCTAATTTTTTCCGAATGCATGAGGTTTAGCTGTCCATATTTCCCAGGGGAGTTGTATGTACAGTTGTCTGATACAGGTAACTTTCAGTTAGTAGTACATTTTTATCTACGAAATTTCTATCACTCTATAAAAATTCCAAGACAACCTTTAGAACATCATTTAAACCTACGTCAGGTTCTTAAATGCATCTTCAATATTCAATGACCGAATCCAGATTTGTAGGTATCTGTAGTGTACATGCCGATATACACACCTGGGATAAACTGGTAGCTTCGATAGAAATTTCCATTTATTAGGATGGAAATACTTCTAAATATAGACCGAATGACGAACCACATACTCTTTATTTTTAGTTCCTTGGTCAATATAAATATATTGATTTACGTCATTCACTGCAGCCCGGTTGATTTTTACTGTATTCAGGCTGATTTTTTAAAAATAATATTTGTATCTTTTGTTATACATTAATGGAAGATATCGTAGGGGGAGCTGATTTTATCATCAGCATGGAGGACTGAAAGGCGAGCTCACAGCAACGTGTAATAAGAACAAAAATGCACACGGTGAAATGACATTTAAAAGTGTACTTTAATAATGTTCAAGATAAGGATTGTGCTGGTTAGTTCATTCCCGCAAAAGAAAAAAGAAAAGCAATAGAGGGTTCATGGGAACCACTTTATTTATTATACTTTTGAAAAAAAAACTAAAAATGAAATAAATTAGGTAAATAAATGTCAGAAATGGAAACTTTAAAATATTACATATTAAGGAGGGTAATGCAAAAATATTTACATTAAAATATTTCTTTTCTTTATTATTGATGAATGATTAACGTAATTGTTTTGTTTCTTTTAAAAAGTGTTATTTATAAAATAAAATTTAACTCAGTTATATTAGTTAAAATAATATAGTATCTTCGTGAAACAGAACATAATAAGAACAAGGTTTAAAATAAAATATTTTTGGAAGCAGGAGCACCAGTGAATTGTACCATTCTACACTGATAAAACTAGCGATTTAAGCCATTCGTGAAAGTGTAAGCGCTTTGAAGATGTATCACAGTACATGGGTACTAAATTTGATAATTATACACGTTTAAAAAGCTGAGGCTATTGGCAAGATGAACGTAGCTGGTTTTAATGTCTTCGTTGTTTTATTCTAAAGTAACGCAGTTTGTTTCAACGGCGAAGTAGAAGAGGATTTCTTTATTCGCACTGAGATTGTAGAATACAAATAAGACCTTTCCCGCCCTAGAAATAAACCTTGTTTGTTTGTTTATTTCACAAGATACACTATTTGCAGCCCCTTTTTATTAGGGAAAAAAATGATTCCGATACAAAACGGGGACGTTGCGATGAAAATAAATCGGGATTGTAGCGATACACGCATTCTCTTATCCAAAATCTCTCATATCACATTTGCCACCTTTTGGTCCATATGTTGTCAAAAGAATAAAACCAGTCCAACGACGTTAACTTGTTATGTTCTATATAGCTAGTCAAAAGACACCCCGCCGTATCTGGACTCGAATAGGAGAAATTTAAAGTAATCTCGGCGATACTGTCATTTTTGAAGTGCTCCAGCCATTTTAAAAGAAACAATAAGCAGGTGTCTTTTCAGTGCTATGACTCAACAAATCACATGTTTTGGTTTCCACTGAAGTACAGGGAGATCTTTAGTATAGACTTAAACATATGTCTCCGTAAGCCCTCCACTTCCAGAGCACAGCACAGCCTTCCACGCAGATGTTACAGAGAATTAATTTGATGCTGAAAGGGTCCCATCAGCAGCGGAACAATCATCATAAAATACTTAATCAA